CAATGTTTGCTCGAAGCCGCGGACGACCCATCGCGCCTTGAACTTTTCGAAGGAACCATCGGCATTTGTCTTCACGCGGAAAACCCATTTTCCGGTAAGAACTTTACTCCCCTTTGTTGCTATCAGCGGGATTAATTCCCAGGTACCTCTGTTTTCCAGAGCTGCTAACTCTCGGTCCATGGCTTCGCGTCATTTCTCTCGGTGTTGACTTGTCAAAGCCTGACGAACTGTTTTCGGCTCCAAAATGTTACTGCTGTTTGTCAGTACTGCGACTGCAAGTCCCAATACTTGTAAACCAGTTTCTGTAAAGCGCGGACGATTCGAGTTGACATCGGAGAAGTTGTGTTCTGATCCCTGTCCCCCCCAACTTCTTCAGGTGTTACATGGATCGTTGCTTCGAAAACAACTGGCATGGGCTGCTGCTGACGATCTCGTTCGTAATCAAGAACCACATCTCGAACATCCTCGGAGTCTGCTTCGCTGAGTGGAATATATTCAGCAGTTCCGACTGACGTGGTTGGCACAGGGATGTCTGTGGCAGCTACGGAGGACTCAGCCACTGACTCATCCTGTACATCTGCTTCAACGTCGTCGGAGGCGAAGGCACGCGATCCTTCGAATAACCTGGTAGGATTGGCAGCTGCAGCCTGGTGAGCACGAAAAAACAGGTAAGGTGAGTCATTCATAGAAAAGACAATCACGTGCTGGTACGATTTGACTCGTGCGAAGATCCATTATTTTCCATGCGTAAAACTGCTTCGCGATGCCAAGATGTATCCCCCACTTAGCCCGTTCTGAAAAAATTCCGAGTGCTGCTGTCGGAGGTCGATATTGAACGATGCAGCCGAAAACTCTTAAAAGTTTGGTGTTGCCGACCCTTTTTGTCCAATGTAGGTTTGGCGAAGAAAATTGCGGAAGTGAAGTTGTCGACAGCAAATTGTGCAGAAGAACTGCATGGTCCAAAGCGTAAGTCCAAAAATGTGGTGGCAATGCTGCCAGAGTCAGCAAGACTCGCATCTTCTCTTGCAATGTCCTGTTCATCCTTACTGCTACCCCCATTTGTTGATGCTGATGCGGCAGAGACGTTCTGATGCCTAGGGTTTGAAGGTAGTCGGTGATGTTTGTGTTCGTGTACTGTCCTGCTCCGTCACTCTAAAACTCCTGTAACTTTATCCCCGATTCCCTTTCAGCCACTGCGAGCCACGCGACGAAGATAGAGTGAGCCATATGCCGAGCCGGGATGTTCGCCATCCAAACATATCGAGTAGAAGCCTCTATGAAAGAGATCATATACTGTATAACTCCCCCTTAGGTCCTGCTTCAGGTTAGTTGAGGATATCGCTGTAAGCTTTCTGCATAAGTGTGTATCGAGTTGAACCCGGAAAAATGACTTGGAAAGGTTTCGTGCGGAAGATTTGCAGTTGTGCTCGTAGTGCAGACTGCTGGTCTTGACGATGGCTTCATCTCAGTTCCATCCGGTAAGAGTTAACTGTTTTTGTCAAGAACTGAAGCTCGGATAGTATGGTTAATTATTCCCGGTGAAGGATGTCCTAACCTTTGATGCCAAATATCTTCTGTTGCTTTGTGTCCTGTTGATCGCCGAAAAAAATCGTCGTTATTATAAAATGAAGAAACGATGAAAGGAGAAAACGCTGGTGATTCGTCGAGTTGGCCAGGAACGAAGCGAGTAAGAGGTAACTTCGTGGTTGTAATTTCCACATCGAGAACTTCTTCCGGTTGAAGAACTTATTCCCCTTCCTCAATTTCTGTTTCTTGTGAATCTGCTGCAGGTTGACCAACGAGAACACCTGTTTCTGCTTCACCGCTACTCTGCTGCTCTGCTTGCTCTGCTTCACTGCTGCTGCTGGGTCCCCAAGGTACTGTAGGTTTGTTTTCAAGTTGTTGTAAAGTGTCATAGTAATTCCTCCATGCTGATGTATCTTCCTCGGCTGTGTTTGTTGGCCAGGAATCCATAGCCGTTATAACTGCTGCTGCTGTACGAGATCCTGTTGGAACTGCAGTTGCACGGAATTCGATGTCAACGTTCTGAAAATCAGTTTCTTTGGGATGTTGCCAAGGTCCAAGAGATAATACTCTCTTAGAAGATCCAGAAGTCCCTTGCGACTCGAATTGAAGAACGGAGACCCCATACTGAGTGGCGGCTCTCCCGATGTAAGTATTTGTATCATTATGATAAAGTTCCTGGTCCATTATCTCACAATTGCCTTGTGTCCTGATCTTATGTCGCAGGATTTGAGCCGTTGAAAGAAGATTAAAGCCAAGTCCAGCGATGATAAGGACATTCGTAACGTATAAGGAAATCCTGTGTCCATGGAATCCAACATGACGCTGCCGATTGACCTTGCCATAATGGTTTGTCCATTTGCAACTGTGACAGGTATTGGACATCGAAGCGGACGCTGATGAGTAATGAAGAGCATCTCGGCAGAGCACATGTGTTGTCCACAACAACTGTCAAGATACCAAGTGTTTGGTCCTGCAATAACCCGAGCAAGATTAGCATATACTTGAGGTAAAATCATATTCTCAGGTTGCTCGATGGAGTTTTCGTCGTCTTCATCATCAAATCTGAGTTTGTTGCAGGAACTGTTGTAACGCAGCTGAAAACTTGTTTTCCTGATGTTGGAGGAGTTGTTGTTGGTGGATTCTGCTTCACGGGCTGCTTAAACTGCTGCTGAAATCCTCTTTCTCTATCACCTTGAAGCTTGTTGCAAAAATTTATGCTGTGTCCATCCTTTTTGCAGTAGTGACAGAAGAACTTGTTGACACGTTTCATGGGCGTTGAATAAAAATTGATGTTAACTTCTCCCTTCTTGTTACGTGTTGTCTGCAGGTCAATATCTTGCTGCTCTGCTTGAAGGATTGAGCAGATTTTTGTTTCCGAAAGATTTGGTTGAAGACGAAGAAGAGATCGGCACTGCCGCCATTCTGCTCCAAGACCGGCAAGAAGGACTCTTACAAACATGTCCTTTGGGAAGTATCTGCCGCACTTTTCCAATTGGTCACGAAGTGTTCTAGCCCTGTTGATACAGTGGCGGAAACAATTGTCTGTATGTTTTGCATAAATTTGGGTTTTTATGCTTTAAAACCACTATACATTAAGCCTTAATGTTTAATGGTGGTGTGATTTGGGAGGGGCACATAGTGGATGTGTTCATAGCACAAATATCCAGAATAGTACATTGGATCTAACTCATATCCCAAAAGATATACAAAGGGTACATCCGGACAAATATTTCCAATCAGAGAGAGCAAACTTCATAATTGCGTATTTGGTACATAGCCCACCGACCTTTGGCCTTGATCACCACCCGCACCCTCCTAGGCATACTATCTACGAGGTTAGTACAAACCTCGGCAGGGAACTTCTTGCACTCTTCCTGGACCCACCATTTAGCATAAGGGGGTGAGCACTAGGAAAATCGCGAAAAAATTGGGCGTAGGCTAGAGTATTGTGGACGAATTTGGATTGAATGGTATCTTTGAGACTAGCCATGCTGAGGTGTGGCCAAAGATGCAACTAGCCGGTCAGGCCCATCTTATCACGAATTGTCTTCATCGTACCATTGTAGGGTAAAATCATAAATAGAGCAGCCAAATCTAGCGTAGACACCCAAAAAAACTGAGAGTAACGTTGCCCGGTTGAGTGTGCACCCTTGCACCATTAAAACAAACTAGGGTCTGCAAGTCTAGTCACGGTGCACCAGTCATACAAGCAAAGACTGTTCTGGAAAATACTCAGTGGCCAGCTGCAATTCGTGGAGTCGCATGCTGAGTGGACAATTAGTGTTCGAAAGCATGTGACCTGGTCAAATGGGACCAGCGCCAACTGTTTTGGCTCCAATGGCCGCGCGTTTTCCTGGATTCGTGAAGGCACAACCTTGCAACACCACCAAATCAAACAGACGGTAAACTATGGGGACAAGGATCAGTGATGGTGTAGGGATGTGTGACATGTGCGGGGGTGGGGTTCATACGCAAGATTGACGGAAGCATGGAGAGGCCCTTGTATGAGGGCATTTTGCATGACGAACTCGAATTGAACCTCCATTTCTATATGATTTTCCTCTCTGAGGTCATCTCGGTGCGGACAATGACCCCAAGAATTTGTTATGCCTAGTGCATGAATGACTTGGAGAACATGAGTATGTAGCCCTGGAGTGGCCTTCTTTCTCACCAAACCTCAACTTCTGGGCTTACCTGAAAAGGGAGCTGGCCAACCAGAAAAGGCCTTCCTCTGGAATGCTAGAGCTTTAAGAGTTGGTCCAGGAAGAATGGGAGAAGATCCATGCCGAGGTTTGCTCTAGACTCATTGACAGCTTGCCTAGGAGGGTGCGGGCGGTGATCAAGGCCAAAGGTCGGTGGGCTAGGAACTAGAAACACACTTTTGAAGTTTGCCCTCCCTGCTTGGAACTCTTTGTCCGAATGTACCCTTTGTGTACCTTTTGGGTTTTTAGTTAGATCTAATGTACTATTCTGGATATTTGTGCTATGAGCACATCCACTATATGCCCCTCCCAAATCATACCACCATTAAACATTAAGGCTTAATGTATAGTGGTCTTAAAGCCTAAAAACCCAAATTTATGCAAAACATACGGACAATTGTTTCCGCCACTGTGTAATCCGAAACGTTCTCGTTGCCCTGCATCTGTACAGTTGTCAGTTGTGAGAGAATTTCACTCACGGAAATTGTTTCCTGTGCCATGTATAATCCCTTCAAATACTTCCACGCAAATTCTGCTGGAGTCAAACTGGTGTGAAGAGAGCGTATACCAAGCTGCTCTTTCAGTGACAGATTGCGGATAAGGACAATGTAAGTGCTGAGTGAAGAATGAAGAAAACTCTGTTGTTCCATCTGTGTTCCTGTAACAGGATACGAATAATCGCCACTGAAGAACGGCCATAATCCAACGGATTTCGTGAGGAGATCGAATTCAAAACTCCAAGCGTAGAAGTCAGCGCCATTAAAATGTATAGTTGTCTTGATATGTGTATTGCTTAAAAGGTTTGGTGCCTGAAAGACAGGGCCAGTGAAAGAAATCTGCTGCTGCGGAAACTGCTGTTGCGGTTGCTGTTTTTGCTGTTGATGTTGCTGTTGTTGCTGGAACTCTTGTTGCGCTTGCTGCTGTTGTTGAAGAAATTGAGATTATTGATGTTGAGCAGGTTTAAACGCAAACGAAGAACTGGAGCTTGGAGCGGCTGCAGCTCTTGCATAGCTGGAACCATCAATGCTCATACCATTGAAAGCCGCTGATATTGATGCTGCTGCTTGTTGTTATAATGTTGCAAGTACAGAGGACGAATTTCTCGGTGGATGCATAGTCGGCAAAACTTGTTGTTGTTGAGGCATCCCAATTGAAGAATAAGCAGGTGGAAAATTTCCAGCTGCAGAGTTACCTGTTTGACCAGTGTTGACTGTAGGATTTGTAATACCCGTAGGCAGGGCCTAAGATTGGTTTTGAGGCACCATGAGTGCTCAGGGTCCCCCCCCTGGTTAAGCCTGATTTTTCAGGGCCTCCCCCCAAAATTTCGCCGAGTTTTCAGGGTTCCCTTAAAAAAATTCGCTGAACAATCAGAGTTACTTATATTTTTTCCGCTGAGCCAAATCCTCCTCTACATTTATATATTCCATTTTACGCTCTTGGCGCTGACCATCAATTTCGTTTTTGGTACGCTTCTGATTACCAAGCCCCGTGGTGCCTATCGTACCCTAAATCTGGCTGAGGGAACACGTGTCCTCGCCTCACACAGTCCCCACCCCAGTAGAGAAACAGTAGCGCCAAATTTGTCGAAGGGCCAACACGTGCCCTCACAGTCCCCCTCAACACGCACTAGCACTAAATTTGTCGAAGGGGCAATATCTGCCCTCACACAGCCTCCAACAGCGCACAGTAGCCTAAAACCTGCTAAGGGCCAGCGGGTGCCCTCACAGTCCCCAACACACACCACACTAGCCCGAAATTTGGTTAAGGCCAAAATTTGCCCTCACACAGCCCCAAGCACGCATCGAGCAGGGGAAACGGGCAGACATAACGGCATGGCCCACGAATCATGCTTACAAGATTCAGGGTAGTCCCCCTATGCTATGCCGAGTGTTGGGCCGAGAAAAGCCCTTAGGATCTTTCCAGAGACTAAGTCCCACTTGTACAAGGTGTTTGAGTAGTGCAGCGAAAGTGCTGAATAGTTGAACCCTTGCACTAGTATGTGAGAGCAAGTGATTGATTAAAAGAAGCAAGCATCAGCAAAATATATAGAAAATAGGAAATAAATCAGTTGTACAATACAATTGAAGAAACGGTTATCGAGTCGCACAGCGACTCGATCGTTGGTTCGGTTACCACCCTTGCAGTCATAACGGTCAGTCGCAACCTCTGGTTGCGATCCTTCGAGTCCCTTCGTCCTTTCGTGTTCTTTCGTCCAACCTCCTCGTATAACCTCCGTTGACTCGCGTACTCGATACGACTTTCCTTCGAGTGTAGTGTTACACTTCAGAAACGCTTAAGTCTTTGAGGTATTTCCAACACCGAGGTAACAGGATCCACTTCAATAGTAACACTGAGCGATCAAAATTTACTCACAAAACATCCTTGAAATTTCAGGGGTAAGTCTCAAAACTTTCATGTCTCATCAGGGTTAGCTCCGAAAAAAATCCTGATTTTACCCTGAATCAGGGAAAAAAGCTTGCAATCTGAGGCCCTGCAGGTAGGTCCAGTTGGTGAAGAACCAGATGATTGAGTCAACGATGGTCCAGTCATGATTGACGATAGTCTTAATTCCAGAAAACTCTCTTACCATGAAAGAATTTGAAAGGTGGTGCAGGAGACTAAGTATAGAATCTGCAGACACAAGTACTTGAAGTAGAAAGTAATACTGGAAGTACCTCCAGTAACAGCCAGTATTAACAAGTTATAAAACCAGAGTCAGTGTTACAGCTTTGTGATACTTCAAGACTTAACCAAGGATCTTTGCTGGAATGGTAGACTAGTAAGACAGTGGAAGGCTTAGAACTTGTAAAGTGTTGACCAGAATTTACTGAAGAACAAGTTAATAATTGAAGTTTGTTGGGCTGAGAAAAAACCCTTAGGATCTTTCCAGAGACTGAGTCCCAGTTGTAAGAGATACTTGAGTAGTGCAGCGGAAGTTGAGTAGTTGAACCCTTGCACTAGTATGTGAGAGCAAGTGATTGATTAAAGGAAACAAACATACAGCAATATATAGGAAATAGGAAAGTAAAGCAGTTGTAGAATACAGTTGAAGGAACGGTTATCGAGTCGCACAGCGACTCGATGGTCGATTCGGTTACCACTCTTGCAGTTGTAACGGTCAGTTGCAACCTCCGGTTGCGACCCTTCGAGTCTTTTGTCCTTTCGTGTTCTTTCGTCCAACCTCCTCGTGTAACCTCCGTTGACTCGCATACTCGATACGGCTTCACTTGAGTGTGGTGTTACACTTCAGAAACGCTCAAGTCCTTGAGGTATTTCCAACACTCCCCTTCGTTTCTGGAGTGCTGACGTGTCCAGATTTGGTGACGTTGATCTGCCCGGTCAGCAGCATGCAGTAATCGAACTTTGCCTTCGCCAGTTTCTTCGTCAGGTAGTCTGCGGTCATTTCTGTCGTGGGGCAGTAACTGAGTTGGAGTCTCCCTTTCGCGATTTCATCTTTGACGAAGAAGTACCGCAGGGCGATATGCTTGGTTCGATTAGCGAACCCGTCTTTGTTTGCCATTTTAATCGCGGATTGGTTGTCGCAGAATATCGAGAAGACGGGTAGTTTTGCGATTTTCGCTTCCTCAAGCAGCTCTCGCAGGTAGAGTCCTTCCTTGGTCGTAGTGCAGAGGGCGATATATTCTGCTTCGGCCGAAGATAATGCGATTAGTTCCTGTTTGCTCGACTGCCAGGAGATAGTCCTGATAGGCTCTAGTCGGTAGATGTAGCCTGTCCTAGAGCGTCGATTTTCCCTGTCTCCTGCGTGGTCGGCGTCGACGTATCCAAGTAGTTGTACAGACGATGTCGTTGCTTTACTGTAGGTAAGTCCAGTCGTCGGCGTAGAGACGAAGTAGAGTAGTGCCCGATTTAGTTCCTCGAGATCTTCTTGTTCCGGCTGCTTTAGATGCGTCGCTAGTTGGCTCGCGCTGTAAGATAGGTCCGGTCGGCAAGTTACTGCTGCGAATAGTAGGCAGCCGAGCTTCTGCTGATACTCCTGGATTTGCTTCGCGGGGAGTTTTGCGGAGGTGTCGTTGTTGTTCCCGTAGCGGTAGGGAGTCGTGACTGTAGTCGGCGTTAGTCCGAATTTCTTTGCGATAGCGCCTGCATACTTCCCAGCGTGTAGGTAGAATGCCGAGTTGTCTTCGACGATGTTCAGACCCAGGTACTGGGTCACGGTGTTAGACACCGTGAGTGTCAAGTCACTTCTCAGCTCCCCTTCGAACCAGGTGGCGATGTCGATAGTGGAGCTGATGTAGAGCAGGTCGTCGACGTAGACGATGAGTAGGATAAAACCCCTTTCCTTCTATAGTCGGTGCATGCCTCGGTCGTGCGGCAGCTGTAGGAAGCCAATCCTGACGAGGCGGCCGTGAAGGTGCTGCTGCCAAAGCCGCGGGGCTTGTTTGATCCCGTAGAGGGATTTTATCAGCTGGCACACTTTTTTGGGGTCGTCGATGAATCCGTGGGGCTGCTCGACGAAGATCTCAGCGTCCACCGGTGCGCACAGGAAGGCGTTTGTAACGTTGATTTGGTGTAGTGGTAGCTTCTTCGTGGCCGCGACGGCGAGTAGAATGCGCAAAGAGGTGTGACGGGAGACTGGGGCGAATGTCTCTGTGTAGTCGGTTCCGTATCGCTGATCGAATCCCCGTACGACCCAGCAAGCTTTGAATCGTCCGATGGAGCCGTCCGCATTAGTCTTGATTGCGGTACACCCATTTTCCTGAGAGCACGTTTTTTCCGCAGGTTTTTGTTGCAGGTACCAGCTTCCACGTGTTTCGGTCTTGGAGGGCCTTTAGTTCTTTTTCCATTGCTTCCTTCCATTTCGCCTTGTGTTCCCCCCCCAGAGCCTGCGACAAAGTCGTTGGCTCGCGCGGAGACGGCGGCGGCGGGTGCTGGATGGAGACCCATAATCCGAGTATCTGCAGGCCCGTGGGTGTGTGTCAAGGGGAATTCTCATTCCCGGAATAGGCTGCTTCGTCACCATCTTCTGGATCAGGTAAGAAGTTTGGGCCGATGCGTTCTGAGACATTCGTGTCGACAGGTTGAGGTGTAACGTAACCTTGGTCAGCGAAGTGGTAATGGGTGTCGAGGTTATTACTATCGAGAGGATTGTCGTCGTCGAGTGGAACAGGCACGGAACAGTAAGGGAGTGGTCCGGCAGCTTCCGAAGCTCCAGGTACGTCTTCTTCTGCTGCGTCAGCCTCGGCAGCACGGTCGGCGAAGGACCGGAGGCCCTCAGAGCCATTTGCGGGGTCTTCTGTGTTTGCAATGTTGTCCAGGTAATGCTGCAGCATCAGTCGTTCGTAGAAAATCACATCACGTGAGGCCACGGTGTTTTTGTCTTGTATGTCGAGAAGTTTCCATGCTTGGAAATGTTTTGCGATGCCGAGGTGTACTCCCCATCGTGCTCGTTGAGAGAATCATCCTGCGCGTGCTGTGTGCGGTCTATACTGTACCATGCAGCCGAAGACTCGAAGTAATTTTGTGCTGCCCTGTTTTCCCGTCCACAGCAGGTGCGATGATGCGTTGTTGGGAAGTGATGACGAGGACAACAAATTGTGCAGGGGAACTGCATGTGTCATCGCGTCAGGCCAAAGCGTGTTGGGCAGTCTCATCCCCAGGAGCAGCTTCCGCATCGTCGTCTGCAAGGCCCGGTTCATTCTTTCTGCGACCCCCTGCTGCTAGTGAGCGTAGGGCAGAGACACCAAGCGTCTGATTCCTCTTTCCGCCAAGTAGTTCCTGAATCGTTGTGACTGGTATTCCAGTGCGCCGTCTGACTGGAAGCTCTTGAGTTGAGTTCCTGATTCTCGTTCAGCGATGGGGAGCCATGTCGTGAAGGCTTCGAATGCTTGATCGCGTGTCTTGAGGTTGTAGTGCCAGAAGTATCTTGTTGCTGCGTCGATGAACGTGATGACATAGTTGAAGTCTGCTTCACTGTCGTCTCGCGGCATATTTAAGATGTCGCTGTAAACCTTTTCCATCAGTGCGTATCCAGGTGCACTTGGATTGTGATGCG